TTTTTTAGTTTTTGATAATTTATTTTTATTGTCCTCATTCATTAGATTTAGACAAATAATTTTGGCTGTCATTTTTTATTAGAACTAATGAAATTTCGTGAAATTTTTCATTTAAAGTATTGAATTCCAAAAAATAATAATAACAAAAAATAATCTTATTGAGAATACGAAGATGGTCTAAGATTTTCATGTCTACATCCATTTGCGTATACAATTGGTTCAAAATGCTCTCTGTCTATTAGGCCCTGTTTGATAGAATGGATTTTCCTAAGAAAAAGGAAAATAATTTCCAACTTTACCAAAAAGTAGTGTTTGATTGCTAAAATTTGGCCAAGAAAATTTTTTCCCTCCCCCCTTCCCATGCGCCCATTTTCCTACAATTTAGGGGAAATGCTTTCCCACTCATTCCAGTCTGACGTAAATTTTTTTTTTTTTTTTTGGCAATGAGAACAAATTTCATAACCAGTTGTAATTTTTTTTTTTTCACTTTAATGGACAATTTTAATGTAAAACAAAGTCAAACGAACACTAAATTTTGATTAAAAAAAAATGATTTTTTAGGAAATATTTTTTTTTGTTTTTTTTTTTAAACTTTTTGGCAATGTAAACAAATTTTATAACCAATTCTAGAAATAATTATCACTTTAATGGACAATTTCCATATAAAACAAAGTCAAACAAACACAAAATTTAAACATTTTTCGGGTGGAAAATTATAACAATCAAACACACTTAATTAACAATTACATGCAAAACATTTTCTAGACAATTACTTTTCCTGGAATTCATGTTCTTTCCACCCATTTTCCACCCTTGCAATCAAACGGGCCCTTATAGTTCTTCAAGTTTTTCCCAAAAGTCCTTTGTTTAGATATTCCATGGACGTTGGCAAAGACATTTTTTGTAAGAGAGATATGTAAATTTTTAGTAGGTATATCCGAAATAGGAGTTGGTCACTTGGTCTTCTTTTTAAAGCTTTGTGTATATCAAATTATATCAATAAAGCTTTGACTTGCGCTTGTCACATGCCAAGAGTAATTCTCGCATCAAGAAACCATTTAAACTTTAAACTAAGATCAAATGATTGTTTTGTACAAACTAAGATCAAACTTTAATCCAACAGAATAAGGGGTCTCGAGAGGAGGCTACAAATGTGATTTCATACGCATGAAGCATTCTATTTTCATAATTCAATCTTTATAACTGAGATTAAATAATTGTTTTGTACGAATTTACAACTTATCAACAAGGATTTTGCTGTTTGTACATCAAAATTGTGCATAAGAGATTACATAATATGATATGGAGAAAAAATATTGGATGACAAAGTTGACCGTTTTTTAAACAGACAAATGATAGAAGTCAACATTTTCTATATCACTAAACAGTTGGAGGAAAATGACGAGTGTCATCAAACCTATATGATTGATGCACTCACTCAGGAGGTAGCTGATAATATATTTTTTGGACTAGTACAGGAAATTCTAGAACCAAAAGGATTGGATGTTGCCATAAATAAACATCTTGAGATGGAGGATCAAGAATCATGTAAAAGTTCTTATTTTACATTACCAGTTTCTAACGAGATGACTTTACTTTTTGTGTTGCGGGCCTCCACTCCTGATTTTAAGCTTTCCTCTAGTCATCTCACGCATGTATTTGATGGAGGCAGAGGAACATCACTGATGATTATGTCCAAGGAACTTAGTGCATTGCAAAGGAAATTGAACCTACACTTGTTGGATTTTAATTATTTTATTATAAAAAAATATAACGTTATCATTTTAACATTTTAAAATTAGTTAAAATTATTGTCAATGTCACATCTGGTCAACTAACAGTTAAACTAAGGCCGTGTTTGATATGCCACATTTTTCGGGGAAGTAGGAAAATATTTTCCACTTTCCACTTTTTTGGCTATTTGATAGGCGAAATTTTCCACGAAAAATATTTTTCGGATTTTCCCCACACGTGCAATTTCCGGGTTTTTGATGAAAATGTTTTCCCGGTTGGTTGGAATATTTTTTTGGGCAATGGAAACAAATGTAATAACTAATGATAAAAAAAAAAAAAAAATTCATTTTAATGGACAATTTTCATATAAAACATAGTCAAACGAACACTAAATTTTGATATTAAAAAAATGATTTTTTAGGAAACAATTTTTTTCCTTTTTGGCAATGGAAACAAAT